CAAAAGCTAAGGTGGTTGGTTACACACACACACTTAGACAGAAAGACACCCAGGCCAAAACCACACAAAGAAGGCTATAATCTATAACCATGAGGGCAACCCCGTAAGGCTACAGCATAATGCTAATTACACATCAGCATGTGTCTTTCCCAGTGGTGGGGCAAAAATTGTAAAGTGTGACTTGAGGGAAAGGCTGTACTGTTACCTAAATGTAAAGGGTCTATCCTTTGTACAGGGACCATTTCAGAACATCCCAGATGGACCAGGTCAGACTCAGCTCTAGATCATTCATCAGGTTCAGTTTTGACTTTTGACAGTCCCATGTGTACTTGCACTCAGCTGTACTTTTAGCTGAATTCTGATCTAGCATGATAGCATGTTAAAATCCAAGCTATACCATGTAAGACTGTGCATGATAGAGGGTTACTCTGCTAATGTTACCTGTTTAAACATCAGTACCCTATGATGTTGTTTCCATAATAATCTGCTAACATTTCACATGTTAGAAGGCTAATGTTACCTTTAAGCCCCAAGAAAACTGAGGCTAACAGGAATATGTTCTTTATTTTCAGTGGTATCTTGAGCTGCCAAAAAGCCCTTGAGCCTGAATCAGAGGTTCAAGGGCAGTCCATGTCCTTAACACACACCTTTGGGCCACCACATATAAATATTTCCACATTCTGGACCCAGCCACGTTATTTTATTTTTTTCACAAAAACCCTCCCTTCATGCCCTTTGTTTTCCAACTCCCTTCCTCTATGGTCTTGCTTCCCTATAGGGGATCCATCATGCCCAGAAGCAGGGCAGAATGTTCAGAAACCTCCCCCGAAACCGCTGATCTCAATCATCCCAACACCAGCATGTCATGCATAAGCATGCAAAACACCACATTCACTCCCAATTATCTCCCTCACCCGCCAGCCACGCCCTCTCACCAAGCGTGGAACTAGCCAATGAACTGAAGGGCATCACCAAAAACGTTTTATTCATTCATTCATCAAACAGTTGGCAGGACATTTTATTTCAGTTTAACAAAAAGGCCAAGTGAGTTGTCTTGTCAAAAGCCAAACTATTAGCATGTTCATTTTACACTTCCCCCGCCTTGAACCGCCACCTTATTGTGGTGGAGGGGTTTGAGTACCCGAGTGATCCTAGGACCTATGTTGTCGGGGGCTATATGTCCCTGGTAGGGTCTCCCAAGAGGAGGCATGTTCTGGTGAC